CTAGCATTTGACTTTGTGCTTCCGCTGCCAGTCGCTGCCTTGCTGAGCTGGGGAGGCTGTGGGCTCTAGGTTGAATCTATTACTTACAAAGCCAAGCCGCTTCCCTGGAGAGTGGGGGGCAGTATTGAGGTCTTGGGCTTCTAGCTGAGGTAACAGGACAGATCCCTAAGCAGGAATGGGCAGCCACGTAACTCTCTTTCTCAACAGAAACCAATGAAATGGTGCCTTCCTAAGAGGCCTGAGGAACTGGAGAGTGTCCGGAGTGGGCCACAGTTCGCTGTCAGTCTCTCTCTGCATTCATCTAAGTGGTATCGAGTCACCACAATATGTTTTTTGAAACATACATTTCCATGAATGTTGACAAACCTATATACTCGTGTGACAACACCCTAATCAGGATGGAGGATGTTCCCATCTTCCCAGAATGTTCCTCCTGCCCCTTTGCCATCAATGTCTCCAAGGGGCACCACTGTTCCCACATCCATCACTGTAGGTGAGCTTCTAGAATCCCCTAACAGCGATACCAGTGCACTCGGAAAGCATGTGCCCATTTTTGTTTGGCTTTTCTCGTTCAACGCAATGATTTTGAAACTCAAGATGCCCTTTGTGTGTCCATGACTTGCTTTGAACCACTTTTTCAGTGTTGGGAACTCACTCTCCAGTCCCACCGCACACAGAGGCACCCGTGTTCCTGAGCCAAGAAAGCCTCAGCTCAGTGTGAGCTCCAGCCTCTGTAGCGGCTCTTCTTGGTTGTGGAGCTCGGAGGGGCCCGAGGGAGCCAGGGGGTTCTCACACCTTCTCCATCCTTCCTCCCAGCCGCTTCCCAGGGCTGGTGTCAGGCAGGAGTCCCCCAGCAGCCCCTTCCCATCCCCAGCACATTCGCCATCTTGACCAGCGTGCCATGGGTGAGGGGGACAAAAGAGTCTGGAGGCCCTTGCAGTGAAAAGTTTTCTTAGCTGTGGTAAGAAGGAAGCGGTGGGGCTGAGGGAGGGCATGTTTCCCAGGCCTCCAGAGTCTCTGTGCTAATTTATCCTTCCTCTCAAATTGCCTCCAAACTTCAGTAATAAGCACGCTCGTAGTTCACTGATGAAATACATTCTTCCAAAGCAATTTTAAAATAATCGTGGTGTATGCTAAACCTTAAAAAGAAAAGAAAAAAAAAGAAAAGAAAGAAAGAAAAAGAAAACCCTGCAACCAAGTCATCCTAGACGGAGCGGCAACCACAGAATTTCATAATTAGGAAATGCAGTGTCATTTCTGAACGTTATTGCACCTTTGAAAAACGGTATCAAACTGAGGAAGGCATATTTGATACCCGATTGATTTCAGATTCCAAGTCAACTGCAGTAAAATAATGAGCTGCCTCTGTCGTGAACGGCTGACTCCAGCTCAGAGGGTCTGGGAGGGAAGGCATGGAGTGGTACGGGGCCCCAAGGCCTCTGAAATGAAGCTGAGGGGCCACTGCGCTGGGGGGAGCATGCAGGACCCCGACTGCCTCTTGCATTAATGCTTTTGCCCAAAGGGCTATTTTTGAACTCAGGTTTTATTTCAAGGCCCCTTCAATTCTGCTTGCCAACACGGATGCTGGGAATTGGGAGGATCAAAGCCCTGGACTGGAGCTGGCTTGTAGTTCCCCCTTCACCCCAGGGCTGGCCCAGGCCCCAGGGGGCGTGGGGCGCAGTGTGCACGGTGTGATTTCACCGACCCCCTGCCCTTCGCCATCACCGCCAGGTTCTCTCACCCACTACCCGGTGCTCCACAGCCCATTAGAATTTCATTCATAAAATTAGCCTGTCTAGCACCTGGAAAGGGATGGCCTGTCATTATCGTCAACATCACCCTCAAAGCCAGAAGGCTTCCAAAGCCTTTCTGACATTGGGCCCCTCAGGCCCTGCTGCTGGGGGCTGCACTGCTTTGTGATGTCGCCAAGTCATGGAGTTACAATGGTTAGAAAAGGCTTCTTTCCCTTCACCACAGATTCGCTTCCTGTTAACTCTCTTTTTTCCCCCACCATGAATATTCATTTTATTTTTTGTTATTTAAATTCAATTAGCCAACATATAGTACATCATTAGTTTTTGATGGAGTGTTCATTAATTCATCAGTTGTGTAGAACACCCAGTGCTCATCACATCACGTGCCCTCCTTAATGCCTGTCACCCAGTTACCCCATCCCCCCACCCACCTCCCCTTCTGCAGCCCTCAGTTTGTTCCCCAGAATCAAGAGTCTCTCATGGTTTATCTCCCTCCCTGATTTCTTCCCTTTCAGCTTTCCCTCCTTTCCGCTGTGATCCTCTGCACTATTTCTATTATTCCACATATGTTCATAGCAGCAGTGTCCACAATAGCCAGACTGTGACAGGAGCTTCCTGTTAACTCTCACCCACATCACAGCTCTTCAGACCTCTGGGGATGGTTCTGAAGCCCACAGCGCATGTGCTGGTACCAGGCCCACACAGCCTCCGGCTCCCAGTGTGGCTCTCCGAATCTGTGGGCTCCCTCTCAAGCCTTGGGTAGATCCCTGGGCACAGCCCTCAGTCAGCGCCCAGTATCCCTCACCCCTTGGATGGGATCCCTGAGATGTGTGCTCTACACCAGTTCCCAGAGTTTCTCCGAAGCTTGCAGCCCAGTTCCCTGCAGTGGGAACCAGCTGGATAACACACCCTTTCCTAGCTGTCTTTCCTTCCTTGCCTCACTTCTCCACACCCCTTCCAGGGTTTTCTGTACTTCCTGAATAAAACACATGCCCCACTCCTTGTCTCGGGGGTCTGTTTCCGGGGAAGCCAACTAAGGCAACGCCCTACTTAAGTTCTCTTCCCCGAGCCAAATATTCCTGGTGCCCTTCTCCTATTCCTCATGCAGCACTGTTTCCAGACCTGTCACAAGGCCTGGCCATGTTCTCACTGGTCATCTCGCTTGCAAAGATCTCTCCCACGGGTTATGCCCAGGACAGGACACAATGCTCCTAGCACATCTAGCCAACACACTTCATGTCCCGGGTTTCTCTTGACCCGGGCACCATACGTCTCTTCTTAGCCTTAAAACGGCATTTGCTTTTTTCATGCTTTTATATCTTGTAATCTCCTTGTTAATGCAAAATTCCTGGTCTTCTGACTTCAACTGCTAATGCACCAGACTTACTTTACTCTGGACTGGGTAAACATGCTCTCTGTGTCTTCATCCAAATACTGAATGTAATTGTGAGATAGGACAGGCTCAGAGACATGGCCCCACCACACATTATATTACTAGAGGCCTTAGATTGGCCACAAGTCATTAATCCCATCCTGTGGGAACAGTTGACCAGGCAATGACACATGCATCTAATTGATACCATCAGATTCACATTTTCTGTATTAGATCCATGACTATCACAAGACACTTTGCAAAGGCTCTACTGAAAGCTGGGCCTTTTGTCTAAAAGACTAGAATAGCTCCCAGAATCTTTCATCCTGCCCCCTTGTCCTCTCCCCTTCCCGTGCCACATGGTGTCATCTCACTCAAGCTGGGCCAACATGAAAAACATTTCTCATCTTTTGGGTTCCCAGGTTCTGACGTTTCTATAGATTCTCTCTGGCAGGACAGTTGCTGCCAATATAGGAGCTGCCCCAGAGGCTGGAGAGCAGGGCTCAGCAAACTTTTTCAGCAAAGGGACCGAGAGGAAATATTTAGCCACTGCAGGTCACACAATCTCTGTCACAACTATTTGACTGCTGTTCTCATACAAAAGCAGTCATAAAGGATAGACCAAGGGCATGGCTGTGTCCCAATAAAACTTTGGGCACTGAAATTTGAATTTCATATCATGCTCACATGTTGAAAAATATAATTCCATTTTTCTTGGTTACCCCCCCCCAACAATTTAAAAAATCCATTCTTAGCTCACAGAACATACAGAAAGAGCTGGAGGGCCAGATTCAGCCTGTGGCCATAGTTTGCTGCCCTGCTATAGAGAATGAGAAAAAGCATGAACTCCACGAATGCTCAGAGTCCCATACTTGCAGCTGTGGGATCCGGGGCAAGCCCCTTAGCCTCTGACTCTGCTCAGCTTCCAGAAGGGATACTGTAGGGACTGAGTGAAGGCAAGTCTGTGCTCAGGAGTACAGATGCACAGATGCGAGGTACATCTCCAACCTGCTACCCCAGGCTGGCTCTCCCTCTGCGAACCCTTCATCTCTAAATGCTCAGACCAGAGGCTTGTAATTTATTTCAGAAATTGGCTGGCAATTTATATCCAGTATGCTCCCTGTCTGAAAAGCTGAACACTAGCCTGCAACCCTCTGATTCCCTCTGGCTCCCTGTGAGCTCTCTAAAATCCTGACAGGAGTCCAGCATCTCCAGGAAGACCCAGCACCCTGAGCTGAGCTGGTCTCCACTTCCGGTCTTGTCCACTGAAAGGTGCTTGGGTCTCTTCTTGTCTCCAGTCTCTTATACATTCAAGTTTTATCTACTGCAAGTTGGAGAGATTTCTCCTTGGTAAAGAAAGAAGACAAGTGTGAGCTCTGCTATACTCTGTGCCCCTTCTGCCTGCTGCACACTAGTTGTCACTCTGTCCCCACCATGGTCTTTAGGTGGCTCTACAGCCATTGCCCACCTTAGCCTTCCTGGGATTCATCCTACAGCAGAGCATGGCAGTGCAGTGCGCTCAGATTTGCCCTTGGCCATATGCTCCCTGGGATGGTTACTCATATTTCAACTTGGCTAAGCTACGGGGGCCCAGTTGTTTGGTCAAAAACCAGTCTTGATGTCACCAGGAAGGTGGGGTTTTTTTTTTTTTTTTTTAGATGAAATTAACATTTAGGTCAGTAGACTTTGAGTAAAGCAGATTTGCTTCCTTAATGTATATGGGTCTCATCTAATCAGTTGAAGGCCTTAAGGACAAAGAATGAAGTTCCCCAAAGTAGAAGGAATTCTCAAGACTGCAGCCTAAGAACCCAGCCTGAGTTTCTAACCTGCAGCCCTGCAGAATTTGGACTCAAGACAGCAAAATCAACTCTTACCTGAACCTCCAATCTGCTAGCTTGCTTTATGGATTTCAGGACTTTCATGTGAGCCAATTCCTTAAAAAAAAAAAAAAAAAAAAGTGTCTGTGTGTGTGTGTGTCCATCCCATTCATTCTGTTTCTTTGGAGAAAGCTGACTAACACACTCCTCCCCTCTTTGGGGGTGGTTGGAGTCGTTTCTTTATGAGCCTTTTCCACCTTTTTCTTTTGGGTCATTTCTAATCACATAGACAGAATGGCATTGGGAGCCTCCTGGCCCTGTAACCAATGTTATCTTTTAAGGCCTTCAGGGGGTAAGAATCAGCCCTCCACTCTCTGACCCTTTTGGGGTCATGTGGGGATGATGTTACCCATTCCACTCTCAGCTTCTCTTCTCTTGTAGACAGATTCCAGATTCCACGACAAGGGCCACAGCCTTCTGGGGACTTGTTCTCTCCTACCCCAGATAGATTTCTTTGGGTCCCAATTAACCAGTTTTCCTCTTTGCTTTCTCTCCCTTTGGAGATGAAATTGTCACCAAGGCAAGACAAGACGTTATCTGTTTTTAGCTGCCTGAGACTCAGGCTGATGGCCAGATGGTTAAAGTCTTCCTTCACTCCTGGATCCTGCGTTCATGCCAGCTTTGTGTTAGGTCTGTAAAAAGTACTATCCATACACTCCTAAAATAGGACTCCTGTTGCCCTCTCTACCAGCACCCTCCCTCCCTGCTGGGATTTGCACTCCAGTGAAAACTTGCTATACTCCAATTCCCCTTCTATGATTTCCAGTTTTACTACTATCAAACATATTATATGATATTCCTTCCCATTAATATGTGCATTGCTGAATCCCAGAATCAGAGTATCTCAGGGTGAGAAGTGGGCTTACAGGTCACTAGAACCTAGGACCACATTTTCTCTCTAAAAACTCCATCAAGAGGTTTAAACACCTTCAGTGGCTAGAAACTCACTTTCTGCCACCATGGATGGCCCTGTCCATCTTTTTCTTTCTTTCTTTCTTTTCTTTTTTACAGCTTTATCTTGCCAGGGCGTGGCAGGGATAGAACAGCTACGGAAGCCTGTGGGAGGGCAAGCAGGGTGCTCACAACTAGAACAATTAAGCCAGGTTTTCCAAAATAAGTGTTTTCAAACCCAAAAATGAATAGAGAAGGGGAGAAAAGAATGGAGGGTTCCTTTATGTATGCTTTCCCCATAACAAAATCTGGCCAGGTTTCTACCTGGCAACATCTATGAAATTTATATTCCGTCTTTGTGACACTTTTTTCCACTTTGTCACTCAATCCCTATTTACTGATATCTCTGAGGTCCTACAGATTTTTCCTGGCCCTTTGCACCATTTATTTTAAAGTAAGAATATGGGAGAAGAATTTAGCAAGAATGGTACCATCACATAAAGTCTAATGAAGGGAGAGAAAACTGCAATGAATGAACAGATTTTATCAAATCAAATTAAAATGTTATTTGAAAAATGAAAACTATAGTAAGACAGGTAAGATAATAGTGCTCAAAGTGTTTGTCTTACACAAAAAGATCTGTAATACATTTATAAGAAAAACATAAGCCCTTTAGAGGATATGAACAGAAGAAGAAATTTAAATGGCCAATGAACAAATGAGGAGATGCTTAGATTCTGATCAAAAAGATGATCAGCAAAATGCATGTTCAGGAAAATATCACTTCCCACTCATAGATCTGGCAAATGGTTTTTTGAAAGTGATAACATCCAATAATGGCATGGTTGTAGAGAAGTGGAGTTGGAAATATAAACTGGTAATTTTGGATTTTTTTCAGATGTTAATTTTGTAATACTTATGAAGATCAGAATGTAGATGAATTCTGGTCCAGACACCCCCACTCAGAAGACTGTATTCAACAGAAAGATTTGTACACATATGTAAAAAGATGTAAAAATGTTTAATTGTGGCATTGTAACTGTAATGATTATATTAGTGACACCTGAAATAATTAAATTACCATTAAGGGAGAGGTAGAAAAATTATGCCATATTCATACACTGGATGCTATGCAGAAGTAAAAAGAACAAAGAAGATCAATATCCAATGATCTGGAAAGAAGGTTGTCTATATATACTAAAAACAAAACAAAAACAGTTGCAGACTAAATGTTTCAGACCAGCTGATTCCACTTGTAAAGATATGCCTGCCGAGACACAGACATGGATGTATCTGCATTACCTGGACAAAGTCAAGAAGGACCTGCCCCAAACTGTGTTCACGTTGGGTGGCCAGGCGAAGGCAGGAGAACTCTCCTGTCTAACTTTATGTAACCACACCTACCATCTCAGAATTGGGACTAAAGGACATTTTAATTCTTTATGTTTCCTACACTTTTCAAATAAATGTTAAAAAAAAATGTTTTACCACAGTATCTGGCATAACACAAGTGTTCAAAGAGAGTAGCTATGATTTTGATAATTATTATGTACTGTGCCTAGTACAGTGGCATTCTTCTGTACCATTTCTGTAGCCAGATGTTGTTTTCCAGACATCCCTCTCTTCTCAGAAGCAGAGGTAAATATCCCATCTATCTCTGAAGACTCTCAGCCTCTGACTTAAGCTGTTGTTTCCCCTTCTCCCTCCCCCAACACCCATAGAGTTGGAATAATTTCTTTTCCAGCGTGAGAAGAAATGGGAAGTAATGGGTGGGATCAGTGACCTTGGTAGGGTCTTCATGCCAGGCCAGAGACATCATTTAGGAAGACAGCTACCCCCCAGACAGGGTATGCCAACACTATCCAAGGCAGCTTTGAAGCCTTAGGACAGCCAACCACTCACCAGTTTGGAATCTTGCTTCTGAGGTGTCACTGGCACTGTCCATTCAGATTCCAGGTGATCAACACGTTCCAGCTTGCCAAGACTGTCTCCATTTTAGCACGAGAAGTTCCACATTCAGGGCATCCCTTTAGTCTCGTGCAAACTGGGGTCGTGGGTCCCATCCTTTTGGACACCTATTATGTCTGGCTCTGTGTTAAGCATTGGGTTTGGGTACAAAGGTGAACAAGAGCCCCTCTCAAACTGCCGGGGGGCCTTTCAATGCTAATGAGGACACACTGGGGAACAACCAGCCCTATCTTGATGGATTCATCTAGTGGAGGCATGGGCAGCGTGCCCTGGGAGAGAAGCCACAGGGAGACGAACTGCCTTCTGAGATCTGGACCCAATGTTCTCCACGCTATGGGAGGATTCTCATGCTGGTGGCACAATTCCAAAGATTCAGATTCTCTTTCCCTGGTCTGCCCTATGCCATGGTCTTGCCCCCTTCCAGGGCCCTCCTCCGTGGCACCTCCGGACTCTTGGAGAATGGCTCCTCCAGTCAAGCCAACCACTGCCAGGGAGTGAAGAAAAACAAAGGTCAGGCCCTGAGGGCTACTGGAATAGTCCCACATTTCCGGGTCTCTCTCTGAACTAGATACCTTCGAGGGCTACCCTAATGATACTGCCTTAGTAAATTGGTTCCTGAGCTCTGGAATCTCAGCTGGTCCAGCCACTCCATACCCTTTCTTCCCTGGGAGCACAGTTAATTCATTTGCTCTACTTCCCAGGACTTAAGATTGAATTTCTCTAAGTAAGCACAGTCATAGCTGTCACCCAGTCCTTGGAGAAACTCTTGCCCTGTGTTTGCTGCCTCTCTCTCTGGCCTTCCTGATTAGCAGGGGTTCTCAGCTCTGCTTTCTCATTTGCAGTCACATGGAGAGTGTTTTAAATACACCAATGCTGCTTCTCCTCCCCACCACCAGACCAATTAAATTTGAATCTCGGGAGAGGGGCCCAGTCATTGGTATGGTTTAAAAGACCCTCCCCACCAAATGACTCTAATATTCAGCCAGGGCTGAGCCTACTGGCCTAAACGGTAAACCATCCCACGTGTGGTACATTTAATGCCATAGGGTAATTGTTAGGCACCTTAGCCCCTCCTACCTATTAACTAGCTATCTTTGAATCAATTAAATAGAGCTCGTCTATCAGTTAATTTAGTCATACTATCTGGAGGTAGAAAATATCACACATTTACAACATATAGAGAGAGAGAAACATACATAAACCTACAGACAGACACAAACAGAGATGTTACAGATTCCATTCTAAAGTTCTAGTGATGAATCAGGTAAAATAATACAAAGAACACTGGTTATAAAAGAAGTTAGATCCAAATTGTGCTTCTGGCAGATGGAATAAGTTAAGGTGGCCTGGCCTGTGGCAACAGCTTTTTACTAGTATTTGTGGAGAAGACAGTTAAGTTTTTGCATTCACCAAAGTTCCAAATCACCTTTTCTCCTTTTGTTTTCCTTGCCATAAGAATTTCCTCCCTGAAATTCATATTTCAAAGAGGTGACCCAGATAGGAGTTCCCGGAGAAGACCAGCTGGAGCACTTACATCTCAAAGGCATGGGGAAAGAATGCAAGTTGCTGGGGCACCTGGGGGGCTCAGTTGCTAAGCGTCTGCCTTCGGCTCAGGTCATGATCCCAGGGTCCTGGGATCGAGCCCCACATGGGGCTCCCTGCTCTGCAGGCAGCCTGCTTCTCTTCTACTCCCCCTGCTTGTATTCCCTCTCTCGCTGTCTCTTTCTCTGTCAAATAAATAAATAAAATCTTAAATAAATAAATAAAAGAATGCAAGTTGCTTCAGGAAGGAATTTTGTTTCTTAAGGCCAGAATTCTTACAATATTTACAAGCCTTTTCAGATAAATAGGGGAATTTCTGAGATTGGCAAAAAGGTAGGTGGACTTTGAATTGTTCTAGAGCTGCATTTCTGGTTTTGCCAAGATTTGTAAGATAAGGACAGTTGCTTTTAATTCTTCAAAGAATTGGGTTGCAGCTTAAATTATGTCAAGGAGCTGATCAGCCTATCAAACCACATTATTTCTATGTTCTGGACTTAGAGCTGTGTGTCTTTGGAATGTCTTAGTAAATCCTTTCAAAAAGGCTTCAGAGGTGTCCTCCCTCACCCCCTGGATACATTTAGCTTAGGGGAGAAAAATATTTCTACCAGGCTCTGAATATCAGCTTCCCATTTGGCTGACTTCTGACCACAGAGGTACCTAAAAAAATCCTTTCTCGGGCAGAAACCCGAGACAAAGAGTAAATGTTCCTGGAAATATTAAATAACCTGCCCTGGATATAAGAGGCAAGCCCAAAGAGGGTATAGACCTTACCCTCCCAAGATCCAGAGCCACTTCCAAAGATAACCAGAAGAAAGCAAGACTTTGACAATTCCCCTGAGGTCTGGCAACAGTTTGGTAGGACCCCAGCCACAAATGGAGCTCTGTCCACACATAGATTGTCACAAATGGGGTGCAAACCACATTTCTGTCTGGTCATATTTTGGGGCCCCCAACCTGATCAAAGCCAAATTATCAGTACACAAAACAAGACGAACAAGAAGGTAATGGCTGTCCGTATAGCCAATGGGTCTGAATTTGAAAAGGAAGGGATCACATGAAAATTTTATTTTCCTCTGTTGACTGGGCACTACAGGTAGAAATTCTGGTAAGAACTCTCACCCTTCACTGGCAAAGGATCCCATCCATAGGCTCTATTAGCTGCCATAACTTGGTAAGCTTGTCCATTAATTTTAATTTTAGTTTCCCTTAGCTGTTTAAGGGAACGACATAGAAGTTTACCAGAAAACCCCTCAGAGTTCCATCTATCCTAGATGGGTCCATATGGGAGTGCTCCTTCAAAGGTAAATATGGGGGGCATCTTTAAGGTCATTAACGTGGTAGACTTTTGTTTATGGTCGTGTAGTCTCTTCAGACTATTTAGACAGAGGATAAGTGGAATGAGTATGAAGGTAAAAGAGGATAGAGAAGAACAGTAGGAGTCATGACAGCCTTATAATCTTTTGTTTTAGATACCTCTTGTGTCTTTAATTTTTCATTAGTTTTTGCAATGAATCTTTCAAAAAAAGCTATTTTGAAATCTTAAAGCCTTTGGGAAGCTTATGAATGCCAATTAAAATAGGTATCCCATTCTGTCTGTTTAACTCAGGAACCCTTGCTTTCAAGTGCATGTCTTAAATGAATGATCTTGTCTAATTGGAACATTCCCCATGATGGTCATTGTATTTTAGGTTGTTTTAAGATTTTGTTTTTTTGTTGACACTTTCAGCTTCCAGGACCACAGTTCTTAGACATAAAATAAGCAGGTATGACGGAAAATAGCATACTCAACTCTTTAGGATTCAAGGATGACATTTCTTTCACCAAGCCTTTAACTTGGAGCCAAATAATAGCTAAGAGGGATGTACCACAGGGTTGGGGATTGTGTGTTGTTTTACAGTTTACCTTGTACCATGGACATTTTCATGAGGTTGGTGGGTGACCTAGAGTCATTCTAACCCAACCCATGACCAAATTTTATAGGCAGAAGAGAGTGAGACAAGGAAGTTTTACCAGCAGAGAGTAGATTGGTTGTGGCAAGGTTACTTTCCTTTGGGGAGCTTCAGGAGACTCTCAGGAAGAATACCTCACAAGTGCAGACCAGGTAATTCTAGACTGACTGGTTTCAGATTCCATCCCTTCATTTGGGGCCTATCAGCTCTTTTTAAACATTCTTTAGTTGGAATGAGAATGTAATCATTTCCTGGCAGGTGGTCTTGAAGGGAGAGGGAGAATGAGGAGCCCACCCCCCTTAGGGAGGGAAGGACTGAAGCCCAGCTTCACTGATGTCATAGATTTGGCTCAAAGATGTTGTTTACACTGATTAGCTTTGCTACATTTTTGGGTCACCTTCCCTCCCTGGATCTTTCATTCTTGAAGGTAACCATATCACTGTCCCCTCTTTAACTCAAGGCAGGGAAAATGATGAGAATTAATGCCCTTTTTAAGGAGAATTATCAGCAGGGCTATGTTGGTGGGGGCTTCTCATTCCTGGTTTGTTGAGGTCATTCCTCTGGACAAGTAGAAGACGCCAGAACTTGGCCTGCCAGACCCGGAGGCACCAGGCCAGTTCTGAGCTCAGTTTAATTTTACCCACCACGAATCTTTTTCAATGTCGTCCAGCACATTGCAGGCCTTTGATGAATATGAAACAATAACAATAACAAATCATTGTCTTCAACCTGCAAAACTTCTTTCAGCACCAAAGTCACAGCTGGGCCGGGCATTTTTGGAAGGAAGTCCTACTTAGCTCCTTGTCCTCCAAGCACCCCACCCAGGGTTAGAGAGACCCCAGACTACAGTGAGTAGGGACCATAGCCTCAGCCCACACTGAATGGGGTTTATGCCCCTGCCAAATGGAGTCGGGGGTCCAGGGAGGAGTCAGGAGAAAAAGGCACAGCAGTAGCCCCAGGGGCTACTGCTCATGACTGGAGCCTCTTATTCCCACACTCAGTCGGCGAAACCCACCACCATCAGCCAGAATGCCTCCTTCTGCCCAGCTGCCATTTTGCCCGGGTTCCCCTGCCATCCAGGAGTACCTTGTTCTATCAGCAAAGTCAGCCACCACTGGGGGTGGGGCGATGGCTTTTATTTTCTTCTTAAAGGTTAACCTGAAAAAAGTCCTGTTTGGCTGCTGATGGCAACATGTTTTATCTTAGATGCCACTCCTCTGTGTGTAGATCTTCAAATCAAGAAAAACCATCACCCATCGCCAGTGAAAGTACCCCATCACTGTGCTGTGTTTCTTTCTTCCTCTGTGCTCTGGAGGATAAAAGATAGAAGAAATAATCCAAGAAGGGAGATTAAAAAATAAAAGTTTCAGAAGAGGCAGTGAGAGAAACCAATGTTCAGAAGATGAAAAATGGAAGAACATGTCACAAAAAGCAGAGAGAAAAAAAAAAAGTCCAGTGCCCTAAGGCATCCATGGTATGTAGTGGATTTGCTTCTCTCCTCTGCATCCAGAGTGGTCCTCATTACGAACAATCCTTGGCAGAGTTGAGAAAATTGTCACTCAGATCATTTTTCTGTGTTCTGGGGTTTCCAAGAGGAACACTGGTGGAGGAGGGGTGCATGAACACATCGAAATAAGCAAATGGGGCTCAGGAACAGAAGACAGACCCAGGGCTTCCCACGAAGGAGCGGCACCCTTGCATGCCACAGGACGGAAGTGAGGATAACAATTATGTAATTATTGCCACGTTAATACATATAATAATTTATGTAGTTTTAGGTTTCCTCTGTTTCTCCACTAGACCAGAAACTCCATGGAGAAAACAGCCTTGTTCACTGCAAATCCCCCCAGTACCCAGGCCAGTACTGGGAATGTAGGAAGTGCTCAGTAGACGCTTGTCAATGGGGACACAGGATGGTCTGGCATCAGTGGATCTGAGGAACACCCAGGATGGTTGGTGTTGCTCAACTGAGGGACCCAGCTAAACCCATTTTACAGATGCAAGAATGAGGCCAGATCTAAAGCCTGTCTGTCGTCCCCAACCAGCCTACGAGCCCCTTGTCAATGGTGACATAGCTTAGTCATGCCGCAAACCCCAAACCCTACCAGACCTGGGAGCAGGAACCTGTCCAGGTCCCTTGTCCCCCTGACCTGCAGGGGGACAAGCAGTGTGGGTGCCGAGGGCATGGGGGTGTGAGGAGGAGTCCAGAGAGAGGGGGTGCTGTAGGTGTCCTCACCACAAGCTCAAATGGGGGTGAATGAGGGGAAAGCACAACAGCAAAGCCGACACCAGGGCAAAGCCTCCTGAATAGTTTGAAGCGTAAGAGGAATTTCTGGCCCCTTTGGCCCTGTCATGAGACCCTAATAGTTTTCTTTATGCAGACCTTATGTTTGAGGCACTGCAGAGACAGTGCTGTGGGTGGGCACGGGAGCTGAGGGGGGCGGTTACGGTGTTACCACCATGATGCCCATATTGCCCAGTCCTCTGGACGGCCAGTCCTAGAAACTGAGAAACCTGGGGTTTGGTTGAAGGAAAGCATGTCGGCAAAGGTGAGGTGTCCCACAGACACCCCAGTGCGAGGGAGCACAACACAGGTGGGAGGGACAGCGAGGGAGGGAGAAGTTCGGTGAGGTCAGAGCCTCATGACTTCAAAACTGACCTGGCCCTGGCCCTGGAAAGGGCATGTGTTAGCCCCGTGGTGAGGACGGATGGGCTGTGGACACCCACACACACCTCACCTGAGAGGCAGAGCTAGAGACAGGGGACACCTCATGAATGCCAGTCCCCAAGGAGAAGCCCCTCTTCAAGGGGCTGCACAGCTGACTGCACACAACAGCCAGACTCACGGACACTGGTCCAGCCCAGTGAGGGAGGCAACAGCATTTCTTCTTCCCTGTTCTACAGATTTGAAAACTGAGGCCCCACAGGGTGAAATAGTCTACTCAAGGTCACCAGGCTAACAGAGAATCTCAGATCCCTAGTGTCACCCTCCCACGGTATCTCGTTGCCCCTCTGATGCCCGGTGTGGGGCCCTGACGCTCACTCTTGCACTCTCTCCATCTCTCTCCCAGCAAACACTTAGAGAGCCCCCGTGCCCCTCTCTGGCACCGAGCTACCACAAGACCACCCCCTGGCCCATTAGCCGCCACAGTCCTGGGGTGAGGGCAGCATGAGGTCCCTAGTGGATCTCAGCTCACAGCCTTTTGCAGCCTCCCTGACAGGAGCTGGTCCACCCTCCTCTGAGAGCTTGGGGTCACTCATTCTCGACCCAGGGAACTCAGGGCTTGGGGAATGAAGCAGATGGTTCCTCTCCACACACTTTCAGCATGAAGTTGGAAGAACTTGGGTGAGGCATGGCTCTGGGTGTAAAATGTGCAGACACGAACTTGTCAGGGGCATCTTGTCTCATGGGCACCAGCATGACCTGACCACCGAGTCCTAAAAGGTGACACAGGGGCTCCATGACCTGGGGATCCCTCAGAAACCAGACCTCAGACTGACTCTAAAGGCGATTCCCTGATGCCCTAGACTCCTCTTGACCGAAGAAGAGTCCTTCTTTGTTTCTGAGGAGCTTATTCTCCTTAAGGGATTGCAGTTGCTAAAAAGCCTTGGAAGTGATGCCTCAGAAGGATGGTGGCTCCCAGGCAGGCAACCCGCTCAGAGTCAGGGGCCACAGCAGCTGTCCCTCATCTTCACCCCATGCCCAACTGGCCAGAGCGATGGGCTCATCTCTGAGGTCATCGTGTCACCACCTACCCCTTCCCCAGTGGCCACGATGACATGCCTCCCCAGCCGTCCCCAGCTTCCGGAACAGAAACAGCTGTGTCCAGTTCACCTTCGGTCTCCACGTTAGCTGGTCCGTAAGCACAGGCGAGATCTCTGTGAAAAGAGGATCATGGGAAGCTTTAGTTCACAAAGAGAAAGGGAGACTAGTAATGGCTCTGTATTTATTGGGTTCTTCCCGCATGCATGGTGCAAAGCCTTCTATTCATTCATTTGCTCCTGACAGCAATGCAGTGATGTGGGTGCTACTATTACCCACATATCTGGATGAGGAGCGTGAGTGAATGATGCACAGACAGGAAGAGCCTGGGCCACGAAGCCCACCCAGGCAGCAGCCCCAAGCCCACATCCCCAGCCACAGGGCTCCGGCACCGCTTTTTCCCTACCCAATAAAGGATGGATTCCCTGGGGTCCGCCTTTTTCCAGAAATAAGCATGACTCTGATTCATTTTAATTTGCCCGGCACACAGTAGGTGTTCTATGACCATCTATAAAAGATTAGTAAATGAATGGCATAACCGTTGATGCGAAAGCGCACCCGGAAGGAGGAAAAAGGCTGTTACATCCAGCCTCTGTCCTGAAACGTGAGCAGCAACGCCTCCCCGCACCGGGGCGCGTGCGTGTTACGTGTGCGTGTGTCTGATCCACAAACACAGGCAAGCACGCGTGCACACACACGGCCACAGCCTCAAATGTGAGAAAACGAATATTAATCACGGCTACGGAAAAATGTTACAGGCTGCTCCATCCCTCAAGATGCGCGTGGAAACCGGTGCCACATTGAAATTCAACATTGCTTCTGCTAATCTTGCTAAGGAGACTAGAGCTAATGACACTGAACCTCTGCTGCATCCGGAGCCTGGCTGGGCCGCAGGAGGTGAAAGCCCAGAGCCTCCGTGTGGGGCTCCTGCCCGCTCGCCCTGCTGCGGGAGCCCACTGAGGCGCTCAGCGTCCCGACAGCGGCTCGCACCTGCAGCACATGCGCAGAGTAGGCACGCGGTCAACGCTCCTTCAGGTCTAGATGCATCTATGCTCCCGCCGTGCGTGTGCGCGCGCGTGCGCGTGCGCGTGGTGCCTGTAAACCCAGAGCCCAAATCAGTCCCTCATTTAAATATTTCCTCCCCATTCCCCACGCTATAGCCACTCATGTCAGATACATATGTCTAAATTTGAGGTTCAGAAAGGGATTGGTAGCCCGTTGGACAGTGCATTATCTCCCTCCCCCTGTTTTCTTTCTTTCTTTTTTTTTTTTTAAGATTTTATTTATTTATTTGTGAGAGGGAGAATGAGAGAGAGCACATGAGAGGGGATAGGGTCAGAGGGAGAAGCAGACTCCCTGCGGAGCAGGGAGCCCGATGCGGGACTCGATCCCGGGACTCCAGGATCATGACCTGAGCCGAAGGCAGTCGCTTAACCAACTGAGCCACCCAGGTGCCCCAGTTGTGATTTTTTTTTTTTAAGATTTTATTTATTTATTTGTGAGAGAGAGAATGAGAGAGAGCACATGAGAGGGGGGAGGGTCAGAGGGAGAAGCAGACTCCCCGCTGAGCAGGGAGCCCGATGCGGGACTCGATCCCGGGACTCCAGGATCATGACCTGAGCCGAAGGCAGTCGCTCAACCGACTGAGCCACCCAGGCGCCCTCCCCCCGTTTTCTATAGCACTTAAACCATCCCTTTAAGACAGAATGAGTAAAAACTGGGGACAAGACATCTCTAAAAGCAGAGCCCCAGGAAAGAAAGTTCAGAGAGAGAAGAGGGGAAGGCAGTAGTTTGGGAATGCCCAAAGTGGGCTTCTGCAGGACGGAGCCCACGCAACATCCGCCAGGTAACAGGGCGCCGGAGTGCCCTCGGCCCCTCCACGCCGAGAGCCTCTCCTACGACCGAAGCCAGCATCCCCTCTCCTCACTACGTCCCATCACTGACGTTCTGGAAACAGAGCTCGTTCCGCTCCCTTTTTAAGAGGTTATAAACGTGAAGCCCATGCCACTCTGAACACGCTCCTAGTTGCTCCATTTTGCTCATTTTCACTAGAGCTTTGCTTCCTGTCCTGAGACTGAAAGGCGAGAAAGAAGCTTAAGGTCACTCCGCCACCCTGTGGCCACGGGGAGAACTGCATTCTTCTCGCGGGACAGCCGCCCAGCTCCTGAACAATGAGGTCTTAAGCCAAATAGAATTTTTTAATCTATTACCGAGATGAGCACCTCCTAAAAGACTCCACGGTAGTTATTAATTAGCCTGGAAATAGCTTGTTTTCATACAATTATCCACAGATGTTCTTGTGGTAAAAGGGACCGGTTTGTCTATTTCTGGGGGCTTTGTTCTACAGAACAGAATGGTTAGAAGCCGCCTCCAGGGCTCGTCCAGTTCATCCTCCTGCCTTAAGGAAGGATGCCCTTCAACCAGTCCAGGAAAAATACATGCTGCCATTTCTGAAGAGTGTCTGGAGGGGATGTCATAATCTCCCCGTAACACACACCCATGTGAAGCTCAAGGATTCCGAAGGTTTTCCCTGGAGTCAAACCCAAATAAATTCTTACTGCTGCCAACGCCTGAAAAAAAAAAAGAAAAAAAAATACAAGCACTCCCTGTTGAATCAGATTATATGAGTTCAAGTCCTGGGGCCAGCACTTACTCGTTAATGGGCCTTGTTTTTCTCATCTGTGAGGTGGGAAGGGTAAGAGTCATGCCTTATGGTTGTGGAAGTAGCCAAAGGCATAATATGTGCAAAACATATTGCTGTAAGACACAGAATGCAGTGGAAATGTGGCTCCCGGTTATTCTCAGTAAATGTTGCCAAGTGGCAGAAGTAATTTATACAGGTGCAGGTCGCTCAAAATTAGGTCCTCCAACACAGAGCCAGCAGCAACAAAGAATGGGGCAAGCAGGGCAGGATTGGGAGACATTCATCATATCCTGCAGCTTACAGAGCATGCTGAGAGGGAGCCCACTTAGGGCACCATGAACCACTGACCTGTTCCTGAGAATGTGAAGTCAGGAGTAATCCCCCTCACTCATAAGAGGGCCAACGCAGGAGCAACACTGGCCAGGGGCAGGGAGGCCCAGGGGCTCTGGGACGCAGAGCCTGCCTTTTTCAGGGAAAACATCTGTTCTGGATTTTCTGGACTTCTGGTTTCAAATATTCCAGTCTGGTGCTCCCAGAAGGACATATGTGTTTGGAGGGGTCTGGCGACTGGCGTTCAGGAGATATAGTCCCCAGAGCCCTGAGATCCAACAGAATTCATCCCTGCAGTGCCCTTTAGAAACAAAGAGACAGAGAAGATTAAAAATCAAAAAACCCTCACTGGGGTTTCTGAAATCCCAGTCCTGCAGTGTAGGGCTCTCACAGTCCCCACCTTCTCCAGGGAGTTGAAGGGTCACCTCTTGAGGGAACCCTGAACCCCAGACTGGACCCAGACTCCTCCGGAGTCTCTGCAGCAGGCCCCCACTGTCTCCTGGGCCCAGGATCGGTAAAGACCCCTACGTGGAGCGCCGGCACAGCTGGTAGCTGGTGCCCTCTAGTGGAAATCGGGGGAAAGACAGCCTGGAGAGATGCAAAGTGAGACTAAGCAAGCCAAGTGAGTTTTTCTTCCAGATTTTCTTTCCTCCGCTTCGGGATCGCCAGCACACATCTGCTTCCACGTTGACTGGCGGGCGGACTCTGGTGCCTCCTACGAATCCAGTCCAGGGAACGGCCTTCAATTCATAACAACTCCCAGAAACCTTGCAAAGTTTTCTGAACAGCCGCTCTCTCCACCTCCAAGAAAAACAATGAAGTTGGGTTTTGGGGAAGCCTTACTTCCTTGATGGGTTTCGCACATGGTTCTCCTGGTTCAGGGAACTTTCGAGTCTGGGCATCCAAGCCGGGCCCAGCCCTTTCAAACAGAGACAGGTCTGAAAAAAGAGACAAATAGTGGCTGTTCTTTTTAAATCGCATCACTTCATTTGCAAAACATTTTGGTCTTTTCTTAGTCCCTTTGAAGTATAAAGTCCATTCTGCAGTGCCCACGCATTCGCAGGAACTCGACTCCAGTAATACTTCAAGCAGATGCATTCTGCCCTACTTTGTGGGCATGTACAGAGGTGGGCCTACCTTCTCACCTGAATTAAAAACTGTCATCAAAACAGAATTACTTAAGCACTAAGGGTCATTAATATATGCTTATCAATATAGTTTTGCACAGTTAATTTTTGTGTGGTTTCAGATACTGATGCAAACTACAGGGTGCGAATGTAGATATTTAACAGGAATATTGGGTCAAAACGACAAAATCAAAGACCACTCGGATTTAATTATTAGCTATCTTTTACTTGGCTCCTCTGAGCCGCAAGCATCCTGCCAGACGCTTTGCACATATGATCTTGTGCAATCTCCCCAACACCTCCACGAGACAGGTATTATTATTTCCATGTTATTGTTGAGGAAACTAACAGAGCCTCTCGGCCACTGTGCAGAGGTTCACACCATCTGCTGGAAAAGCCTCTGCTCTCTCCTTCGGCTTTCCTGCCTCCCCTATATGCACCGTATGCACAGGCAGGCATAACCCGCTTCTCCAGCACCTACGCCCACAGGATGCTGACTGGGTGAAAAAAAAGAATTTAAAACACTAGAATATCAAATCAGAAAGGTCAAATTAAAGGAAATGCTTAAAAGGAAGAGGATGTGGGACATCCACTGAAAGGTTTTCATGCCGAGGTCTTTAGAAAAGAAAAGTGGTCCGAAACAGTGTCTCGGATCCAATGACACGAATCCACTCAGAACCACGAAAATCAAAATCAGACTGTGCACAAAACGGTGGTAAGTACTCCTGGAAAGACATAACATCCAAATTTACCAAAAACACGGCTTTTGAATAACAGATTTGAAAACATAAAAAGGGGCACCTGGGTGGCTCAGTCGGTTAAGTGACTGCCTTCGGCTCAGGTCATGATCCTGGAGTCCCTGGATCAAGTCCCACATCAGGCTCCCTGCTCGGCGAGGAGCCTGCTTCTCCCTCTGACCCTCCCCCCTCTCATGTGCTCTCTCTCATTCTCTCTGTCTCAAATAAATAAATAAAATCTTTAAAAAAAAAAAAGAAAACATAAAAAGATGCTCCCTGCAAAAAGATGACTTTGGCTGTTCTTTGGAGCCCTTAACTAAAACATTATAAATAATGTAAAAAAATAACTTAAAATGATTAATTAATCTTAAACTTCACCTTTCCTAAATTAAATGCCTCCAAGTCTAAGGGACCCGGCGGCTGCTTGGTCTGAAAGGAATTTAGTTAGCATTTATAACCTGTCAGTGTAAATATCTTTTCAAGAGACACATATGATTATTTTAATTCAAGAAGCCAATTCAGCGTTTATAAAAGGTAACTAAATCCGTCAGCATGCCCATCCATTTTCTTTCTGCATTAATAAGACTGTGCTTCATAATTTAATTCTGAAGTGTACCGTTCAAGTGTGCTTAGATTAATAATAATTATGCACATATTAATATGTAAGCTTACTTTATCACAAGAGAATTAACAGAAGGAAATTTTATTCTCAAATTTCAAGAACAATGACAATTATAAAGTTGTGTTAGACCCAGTTGTTTCTTCCTTACCTCGATGCCTCCCTGGGCCAAATGGCCCCGATAAGCAGAGCCCTAAATGTCTGTGCCCCCAGCTAGTGCAGTGCCTGGCACATGGTAGATGCGCACTAAGTGTTTCATTAATTGACCTGTGCTAACAACTGGGTTGCAGGTTGGATTCCGAGAAAGATTTCTAAATTTCACCAAGGACAAACGTACCTGCCATTCTTTAAAAGAATGTCAAGCTCATTACAACCAGGGCTTTTTACTCATGGTTCAAACTACTCAGCCCACTAAAGGACTAGAAGGGCTTTCAGAACCAGCGTGTTCCGTTCCCATCAAGGAGACGGGCGAGAGGTGAGGGCATCCTGAGACCCCTGCCTAGGCCTTCCCACTACAGACTGGTGCTCCTCTCTTATCCTGTGCAGCTGGGGCCCAGGGGTTGCCCACATCACAGAAAAGCAGCATCGTCAAGAGAAATAAGAGTATCTCTTCTCTGCCCACGATGGCCACCCCAGCTGTCACAGTCTCAGACTCGGGCAGTCCAGGAACATGACAAGCCGCACAATGGGCTCTGCCTGATACCAACAGAGGTGAGGTCAGAGTCTCTCCTCCGCAGCAGCTGGGAACAAGGAAAGGGGGCAGATTAAAAAAAAAAAAAAGGAATTTGGGGAAAAGAAGGAAAAATCATAAAGTGGAATCAAATGCAGACATCCCGGATTTGTCTGAGTCACTCCTTAACCATACCCTCCATCCCCGCCCTGTGCTAAATGGGATCTCCTGCTTAGATTATCAGCCCCGTGAAGACAAGAGCCATTCTGGAAGTAGATACAGTATTTCTTTATGAAAAGGCACTCCATAGGTTTCTGACACAAGGAAAAAAGATACGGCAAGCTTCCTTAGAGAGCAAATGAGTGGAACATTATCTTTCTCTAGGAGGCCACCTTGTCCCTGTCTGTTTTGACAAAGATGTTGATTCAAAATCAAATGTTTCAAGAAGCAACTAACTGCCCAGAGCTCTGGTCTTCGAATTAATTAATCAAATCAGCCCTAAAATATGTTTGTTTCAAGTATGTGTGTTGTGCTTTATAAGAGGGAGATTTCTGATGGAAGCGTTTAGTGTGTATTCAACAAGGTACATGTAAGGCTGGGCTGCCATATGGAAACGCAAAGCAAGTGCCACCAGAGGTCAAGAGCTTCCTAAACCCGAATCAGATTCCTGTCAGGCCATCCTAGATCCAGAAACATTTCCTTACCCAGAAAACCTCATTACCTTGGATTGCTGAAGTAATTCAAGCCAGGCCTCTGCTCTGTCAATGAAATAAAAAAGTTAGGTAGAGCTAATTAATAGTGTAAAGTGTCACTTAAGTTACTCTCAAGCATTCTCAATTACCTTAGAAGCAGCAATTGACAATCATTTAGTATATGAGATATGAATCAACTTTATCTAATTCATTAAAGTGGGTCCCCCAGAGCCCTGGCCAGACCATACTTTGATAGCCTAGTTTAACTTAGAAAATCATTTGTACCTGAAAACAATAAAATTGACTTTCCTTAGAAATTCCATTCCACCGAATCTGACTGTATCTTTTTACTATACTTTATAGTATTTCTATCTTCAAGGAAAAGACACCTGCATTGTAGAGAGTAGTGTGCAGTCTGACTTGCTTTCACTGCGCAGGCCCCTGCCCTCCCTAACACTCGGTTCACAGCTCTCTAAAACAAGGGCCTTGTCTCCCGGCTTGTCATCTTCAATGGGCTCAGTCAAACCCAGCTACTTTGTTGGGAGACCATCAAATGTCAGAAATCTCTAATGTCAAAATCTCAAAATGTCAAAAATCTCCTGGGCAAATTAGCTCTCTAGAGGGGAAAATAGATCCATTTTCCCGTCTGGGAGTCTGAGCCTGCGTGCTCAGTGTTTTGGGAGTGTGAGGGGAGAAGGGGAGGCTGGGGCCGGGGGAGGGGGTGGTCTGCTTCATCAAAATATTCATTTTTCCTTAACTGCTCCCCATTTTCAGTGTAGCACCCCGAACTGCCCCCACTGGGTCTGGTACCTCAGAATGCAGAAGCTCTGTCAATTTCCCCAGGGTACTAACCACCCCACCCGTCACACCCCTGCACACGTCTCCTTCCTCCCACCTGTGTCCTTCAAAGTTCAGAAGAGGGATGTTAGCTGGTTGTGGGAGACTGGGGAGATGTGGGGATCTAATTACTCATTTAGGACTTTCAATGAATCCTCCTCTTTTCAATTCCACACCCAAAATATGGCCTCCTTTACTTTTAAGTCTCCCCAGCGTTCTTCAGCATGATTCCTACCCCACCCCATCCCCACCAAGCCTTGGGTCGGCTGTATCCAGTTTGCTCAGTCAAATACAGTCAAATTTGTGGACACCTTTTATCAGCTGTCCTCCCCTTGGAGGTCCGTGTCCGTCTCACTGCTGGCATCTGGAGGGAGTGTGGGGAGAAAGCAGATGCATGCATGGGTTCGGCTTTGTTTAAGAGGACATCCTCAGGGCCGGATTCATTCTGTATTTGACCTGGCCCCCTCTCTCCTGTTTTCCCTCCTTGCCTTTTGCTGAGACCCTGAGTTACTCAACATCTGCCCTCTTTCCCGCAGCAGGAGGCCCCCTTGTACAGAAAGTGTCCATAGAGAATGCTCTGCAGCTCTGGCCTGAAAGCCCTTGTGCATTCCGGGTGCAACTCATCCTGGGGTGGGGGTGGGGGTGGGGTGCGTGGGGGGGTCCAACTCACCAAGCTGTGCTAACGTACTTCTTCAGTTCATATATTACCATGAGCATGAGGCCGTGATCTTTCTTTTTCCCTTTCTTTCAAATATGAAATGTTTTGTATATATACAGTGTGAAAAATAATCTTATATAAACACTCAAGCACTTACCACCTGGATTTAACAGATGTCAATATTTTGCCATTTTTGCTCTCCATCCCTTTCACTGTTCACAAACAAGTCACTGTAGACATACCGAAAGCCACCCTTCTCCCATCCCATTCCTTTTCTCACCACCCTTCCTAGAAATAATCAGTGTCCTGGAGTTGGCATGTGTGATTTTCATGTGCCTGAAATGTCTCACAACTTGTTCTTTTCACTCCACATTTTTTTTAGCTTATGTATGCATGTGTGCGTGAACACACACACGAGTTCATTTCTTACAACTGTCATTTTAGTATTCTTTTTATGTTTTTTTATCCACTACTGATAGACAGTTGTTTCCATATTTTTGTTTTTACTTAAAGTGTTGCAGTAAACATCCTTGTATATTTACTTATTTCCTCTTTGCTTGTTTGAGAGTTTCTCTAGGTTGGATGTTGAGAGTGGAACTGTTTTGTACGCCTGTTCAGCTGTGTGGGTAATGCCAAATTGCTCTCTAAAGCGATTTTATATCCCATCAGCAATGTTTTACTGGGCCCACATTTCCGCATCCCGTGAAACATCAGCTGTGCTCAAACTTGGATTTTCTGTCAATCTGACAGATGCAAAAGGGCATGTCATTATTTCGATTTGCATGTTCCTGATTTCTTTTCAGATTTCCTTTTCAGCGAGTTGTCTGTTCATTGCCTTGGCCCATTTTTCTATTGGGTTGTCTTTTTTCTTACTGCGGTGAGGGAGTTCATCATATATTCTCAATTAATAACCCTTTGTCAGTTATCCTGGTTCCAAATATTCCTTCCTCATTCGTGGTTTGTCACTTCACTTTCTACTGGTCCTTTCTCTTGCAGAAAATCCTAGCTTCTCAAGACCATAACGATATTCTCTTAATATCAAGTACGTGTGTTGTGCTTTAAAAAAGGGAGATTTCTGACGGAAGTGTTTAGTGTGTGTTCAACAAGGTACGTGTAAGTGTTAAAGTATTACTCGCATCTAGGGCTTTAATATACCTGGTATTTATCTTAGTGTATCGTATGAAAAAGAAAACTTTATATTTTTCCATATGAAGAAATCAATTTCCCAAGCATCCTTTATTGAATAGTCTATTCTTGATGATGGAAATTTTTTTGAGGTGAAATTCACATTAACAATGAACCATTTTATTATTATTTTTTTTAATTTTATTTATTTATTTGACAGAGAGAGACACAGCAAGAGAGAGGGAACACAAGCAGGGGGAGTGGGAGAGGGAGAAGCAGGCTCCCCGCAGAGCCGGGAGCCCGATGCAGGGCTCGATCCCAGGACCCTGGGACCATGACCTGAGCCGAAGGCAGACGCTTAACGACTGAGCCACCCAGGCGCCCCAACAATGAACCATTTTAAAGTGTACAATTCAATGGCTTCTAGTGCACTCACAATGTTGTGCGGCCACGATCGCTCTCTCGTTAGACAACTTTTTCATCACCCCTAGAAGAACATCCCATATTCTTCAAGTAATCACTCTCCATTTCCCCTTTCCCCAGCCCCTAGCAACCACTACTTTGCTTCCTGTCTGTGTGGATTTGCCTATTCTGGATAGTTAATATAAAAGGAATCGTACAAAATGGGACCTTCTGTGTCTGGCTTCTCTGACCTATCAGAGTGCTATGGCGGCGCATCCATTTTGTAGCATGTTTCAATACTTCATTCCTTTTCATGGCTGAACAATTGTCCATTGTATATGTATACCACGATTTGTTTATCCATCCATTCATGACTATTATGAGCAATGCTGCTGTGCTTGACTGAAATTTAATGCACCTCTGAGGATAAAGGAGTCTGAATATGCAAAGCACTGGGGCACCTGGCTGGTCAGTTGGTTGAATTTGGCTCAGGTCATGATCTCACCCCATGTCGGGCTCCAAGCTCAATGTGGAATTTGCTTGAGATTCTCTCTTCCTGACCTTCCCCTGCTCTCTCTCTCTCTCTCTAAAATAAATCAATAAATCTTTTAAAATAAAGACTACATAAAGCACTTACAATTGTGCCTGAAACTTATATAGTAAGAATGTTTTATTTACTATCCTTATTATTCTTATTATATTACATATTTCCATATATGTATGGTTCTGTTATTAGTCTATCTTGTTACATATACCTATCTATTTCTCCAAAAATATTACATCATTTTCATTAAAACTACAGGTTATGTAGTAAGCTTTGAAATATGAAAGAAAAAAAACACACCTTCCACTTGATCTTGTTCCTCAAATTGATTTGACAGTTCTTGGCCTTTCAATTTCCATGTGAATGTTTGGAACAATCTTTCAAGCTCCACAAAAAAAATACTTCATAGAGGGGTGCCTGGGTGGCTCAGATGGTTAAGCATCTGCCTTCAGCTCAGGTCATGATCCCAGGGTCCTGGGATGGAGCACCGCATCGGGCTCCTGGCTCAGCGGGGAGCCTGCTTCTCCCTCTCCCTCTGCCTCTCTCCCTGCTCATGCTCTCTCTCTCTGTGCATCTCTGTGTCTCAAATGAATAAATAAAATCTTAAAAAAAAAAAATACTTCATGGAATCTTGATTAGAATTGCACGGGACTTATACATGAGTTTGAACATGATTATTCTTTAATGAGTCTTACCACTCATGAACATTGTATAACTTCCCATCTAAGAAAATTTTTTATTTCAATACGGTTTTATAATTTTCTCCGTGTCTTGCAAAGTTCTGATAAACTTCTTATGCACCTTTGTTGCTATTTAAAGCAGTATTTTAAAGTTTATCTATTCTTTGTTACCATTACTTTATATTTTATTCCTTCTGAGTTCAACTTCCTTTTTCCTGAAGGTCATCCTTTAGTGATTTTTTTAAAAAAAGATCTGAAAGTGGAAATACTTTTTTCTTTTCTGAAAAGGGTTATTTAACCCATACTCTTCAGTGATAATTTTGCTGATTAAACACAACTCGGCAGACAGTTGGTTTTCTCTCAAAAATGTGTAAATATTCCATTGTCTCCTACGTGCTATTATGTTGAGAATTCTCTTGTCAGTCTAATTGTTGATTCTTTGCCACTAATCTGTTTTTTTCTGCTTTTCTCTTTGTGTTTGCACTGCTATCGTTTCAAACCAATGTATGTTATGTCTGGATTTTTTTTTTTTAATACTACTCTGGCCTCACTTCGTTTCCTGTATCTATCATATCTTTCATAAATTCTGGAATATATCAACAATTTCTTTATTCTCTCCTTCTGGACTTGGATTAGAAGTATGTTGGATTTCTCTTCGTATTTTCTATGTCACTTATTTATATTTTCCATCTCTTGATTTCTACTGTGTTCCAGGATATGTACTGAGTCAATTCTATTTCCCAGTTCACTAATTCTTACCTCAGCTATGTTTAATTTACTGTTGTGGTTGTTCATTGACTTTTTATTTCAATGATATTTTCTATCTCTAGAAGATCCACTTAGTTCTTATTCAAATTTGCCTCTTCTGTTTGTATAGTATCTCATTTTAAATACTTTTTAAGTATATCTAACATTTTTAATTGGATATTTCTTAATTTTTTGGCAGTCTAATCCTAGCAGTGACCTACCCTCTTTCTGATTTGGCAAATTAACCCACAGGGCTAACATTTATAATCCTCTATCCAAAGCAAGGTCTCCAACAATATTTCAGGTGATAGGGCTAGCCAGCAGGAGAATCTTCTGAGTGGAAGATTGTCTTAGTCTATTTTGGCCTGCTATAACAAAAATTCCATAAATTGGGTGGCTTATAAGCAACAAACATTTCTCACCGTTCTGGAGTCTGGGAAGTCCAAGATGATGATGCTAGATTTGGTGTCTGGTGAGAACCTGTTTCTTCATAGACAAAATGGTGCCTACTCTGTCCTTAAATGGTGGATGGGTATGAGGGCTCTCTCAGGTTGTCTTTTTTTAAAATCAACTCTTTAAAAAAAAAATATTTAAGCAATCTCTACAGCCAACGTGGGGATTGAACTCACAACCCTGAGATCAAGAGTCACATCTTCTTCCAACTGAGCCAGCCAGGCATTTCAGGGTCTCTTTCATAAAGGCATTAATCTCCTTCATGAGAGCCCCATCCTCATAACTTAATCACTTCCTAAAGGCCCCACCCCCTATTCATCACCTTGGGGGTTACAATGTTGACATATGAATTTTGGGGGAACATAAACATTCAGTCCACTGTAGTGGTATCTTACAGAGAGCCTAGGTTGGTCTGGTGTGGCATGATGTGAGCTATGACTCCATCAAATATTGCCTGGATCCTCGGGCAACTAAAGGGCACTGCTGAGGGTGTGTCTCTGAGGAAGAAAAGCAGGATTCTATCTTCAGAGCAATAGCCTGGCTCCAGACATGGTCATTCCTCCTCACAGGTCATGTAAAGGCTCTCTTTTGGCACCAAGTTACCTGCACTCTCCGCCCATCCAGACTATGCTCACGTGCAAGGACTAGCAACAGTATCTCAAACTTCTTCTTTTTCTGTTAAAGGCTTTGTGATTTAAAAAAAACAAAACAAAACAAAACAAACCCTTCCTGATCACTCAAAATATATATTTAATATCTATGGGGATTTTGTGAGAAAGGGAATAAAAACTTTAACACAACTCACACTTCAAAATAACAATTAAAAACTTACTGTTTTATCAATAACTAAAATTTGTAACAGTCACAAAAAGGTAGATCTGGTCCAAAGATCTTGTTTTCAAATGAAGAAACTGAGGCTGAGGGAGGCAAAAGGATTTTTGGGGGGTCTTTTGATTTCTAAATTTATAGTACTACACAAATTCACTCTTGCTTTTAGTAAGAGCCTTTTGGCTAAGATCAAGCATAGTAAGATTGATCAAAGGGATAACTCAACAATTTTTTGTGTAAGTTATAAGTGGAATAAAGTAGAATAATGGGGACATTATATTGTATATAATGGGGACAGTATATAATGGGGATAAATAAAATTACCCCATTGTTGTAATGGGCTAATGGGCTAAGTAGTTAATAGGTTGGGATACTTATTACTAGCAGGACAGCAGAAGAAAATATGGAATTGTCCAAGTTCCACTCTGCCTTATTTCGTTCCTGCAGTGTACTATATCTGGTTCAGCTCAGTGTTAGTTCAGTGTACCATCTGAGAGGGACATGGGTAAACTGTTTGTTGATGACTTGAAGTTATGTCTAATCAGGGATCGTAGAGAGAAAAAGATGAGAACTTGAAGACTTACATGCTTTATTGAATGAATGGTAGGACATGAGACCAACCCTTAATTCCATTATGCAGTGCTCCCATATATAGGCTTCCATATATAGAAAAAGCCATTCTTACTCTGATGGCCCCAAGTATTTGGGACTGAGTTCAATAGGTGGAAGCCACAGGAAAACAGCTTCATGCTGAATATAAGGACCTTCCAACCAGGGACTATTATAATTATATGAATATGAAATTCTATGAATTTAAGTACAATTAAAACAACGGCCCCTGAATGTTTTCTCCCCAAAAAAGGATATTAATCAATTTGACATAAAAATAAGCACTATTGGTGCTTCTAAAAGAGCTGCATTCAACACCGACTGAGTCATTAATTTTAGGTAGAATGGGCAATATATTCTTATTCGCCAGTGTAAGTCATGGGTAATCACTCTTAATGGCCCTTACAAAACTGTTTTCAATAGTATCCATTCACCATCTGGATTGTAATAATAGTCATGCAAGATTTCCACTCTATTCATTTGGGGTCAACTCAAAAGAAGCACTTTCTAGATCTTTAAACTTTAACCATAGGAATCTTTAACATGGGCAAGGAACTGTTTCCTGCAATGTATTTGTGGTCAATAATTCCACATGTATTAAAATGTCATGAAGACCTTACAACTATTTCAGAATCTCTCAGAAGTACGACTCTCTTATCTTAAAGAAAAAAAAAAAATCTACTACTGACATAACACAGTTACTGATATTCAAATGACTGCAGAGTCTAGGAAATCTTTATTTTAAAAAAATTAAGAATTCTGCTAATCCTCTATTCATGACACACACACCCTTTTTCTTAAACTATTTTTGAAAGTGTAAATCAACCTGAATTGAATGAAATAGGGAAGATTTGATCAGAAGTGTCACAGTAGGTTAAGAATCTTTAACAGCACTCCATAGGGAAGGGAAGTGGGCCCTGTTCAAATGTGGCTTCTTAATTTAAACCATCAATAAGTGCTCGTTTAACTGATTTGCAGCAGAATCCTCTGATGAAGCTAAAATGTTGTAGCTTCCATTCAAATTGCAATCTTCAAACACCTGCTCGTTTGTTACATTACTACTCTATCATATGATGTACTGTGCTTTAAAATATCATTTCTTCCTTGGTAAGCCCCTATCTAATTGTGATAAAGTATGTATCTTGGGCATTTTTCTCTGCTTCTGATATCAGTAGAACTCTCTAATGGTTTGAATATGGCCGAAGACCCTGCATTTGGTTCTTCGTTCCAGCTGTACGTTAGAAAAGAGGCAAGTTTTATGTCTTGTACCCAAAGTTTTTACTTCCTAATTTTTGCACCTCAAAAGGTATCTTTGCTAGTAAACTGCTACAATAATATTAGACCACACATAACAATTCTCTAGGAAAAAATAAATTTAGACAAAGGGCCAGTTTAGATTTTGAATGTTACTATGGGAAATACTTGTGTCACGGTTAGACCTAAAACACAGACGAGGAGAAAATACATAAATAATTTTGGGATAAGGCTGTGAGGTTCTAAAATAAATCCAAGAAGCTAACATTGGCTATGTTCATTCAAAACTGACCCAAGTATCCTTGTTTCCAGGAAGAGGTGGAGATAAAAAAGGGAGGTTGGTAGGTGTTGGATCTTAATTTTAACTCCTATCTCACCATAAGATCTTGGGTAAATCATCTAGTGTCTTATTTCTGTTCCATCTGTAAGATTCATTATACAGTATATCAAGATTGTTGGACTTGTTCTGTAAAGGGTCAGATAGTGACTATTTTAGGATATGTCAGCCATATTGCTTCTGTCACAGCTACTCAACTCTGCCACTGTAGAGTGGGAACTACCATAACCAAGATAAATGAATGGGTGTTGTGTTTATTTACAAGAACAGATTTTTTTGGCCCCTGGGTTATAGTATGCCAACTACCAGTATAAAATCTACTTAATGAAGAGAATTTAATAATGGAAATGTACTGTAAAAAGAAATAAAATGATATATAAGAAAGGAAAAAAGATGTATAAAGCTTAAATGATGACAAAGGAGGAAAGTAGTTTGAGAAAAAAACGGAATTATAAGATAAACTTTTTTTTTAAGATAAACTTTTTTTAAAAGATTTTATTTATTAGAGAGGGAGAGAGATTGCACACAAGTGCGGGGGCGGGGAGGGGGAGAGGGGCAGAAGGAGAGAAAGAAACCGACTCCCTCATGAGCAGGGAGCCGGACACGGGCTGAAGGCAGACATTTAACTGACTGAGCCATCCAGGCACCCAAGGTAAATGTTTTCTACAAAAACAAACAAATCCAAAGACCAAGATCTGAAATCTATTTTTAATGAAAATTATTTATCATGGAATTTAAACTGCCCCTGGGAAACTTTAAGCACTATAGTCAATCTCTGAAGAAACCATTTGGTTCTTCAAGTTTAAAAAAAATACTGAGAGCTGAATCCTCTTTGTGAAGTGTTCACTATTATCCTAGTGGATACTATCAAGGCAGAGGATCATGTTAGCTTATTTCATTACTATTCGAATTATTTTCCCACTAGAGGTCAATTCTAAAAACTTTTCATCCACCAGATACTTACTTACTTAATATACAAGGGGGGGGGGGCAGAAATCATGACTTTGTTCTAATTTGTATTTTTTTCTCCATAGTTTTCACAAATCTTTATGATGCATCAACCTATGGTAATATTTCAGTCTCCTATATGTCAACATCAATTACTCTGAACATTTTATCAGAACAATTTTCCAGTATAACTGTAAAATGGAACACTGGCATGGTCCGAAGTAGAAGAAAATTCAGTTGCTCCTCCTAGAGTTTAGGTTTTTTTCTAAAATTTGGGAAGCAACTTTAATAAATTGATAATTTTAAGGGTATACAGATCTACAATCTCTTATCTGAAACCCTTTGACCAGATGTGATTCAGAATACAAAGCTTTTTAAATTGTAGAAAGGCAAAATATGCTTCATACACCACATAGCTTCTACACCTCCAAAGAAGTCTGGAGCAGTACCCCATAACTGAATATATTAATTTTGCTACAGCCCAACTCATTTATACCAAAAATAATAAATGCCAAAATTAGCCAAATGTCAGTTCAGATTTTTCTGTCAAATGTGTTTACTTCAAATTTATGAAAAACTTTTTAGTTTTCTGGGCTTTTTTGAATTTTGGTAAGGGATGGTGGGTCTATGTAAAAACAAAACAAAACAAACCCAAAAGGCCTTTCTAAAGGCTTTTTCAGATCTAAGAGACCCACTATGTTGACTATTTGAATGATAGAGCCTTGTAACTCAAGATACTTTCAAGCATGAATTCAAGAATAAGCCTAAATTCTTCCACTGTAGGCACAATTACCAAGAGAAATGTGCTCCCCCTCTGCTCCGGTGAGTTTCCCTTTCTTTTCAGAACCAACACATACGCGCAGTGAACCCACTTCCATCAGTACTAGAGGACTTTCTGGCACTAATTCTCAACCAAAAGGACTTGTGCCTCGAAGAAGATCGTTTTCTCCCCAGTAAAAAGATGGTTCTTGTAGCTCTGTCACTAATTGCATCTCTATATTTTAACCGGCATAGATATTTGTAGAACTCTTCTTTAATTATTTTAAGACCAGAGCATTAATCTTTAGTCCTGGCTGTGTGCCTTAGAAATGCATGTGGAACACTTAAAAATACAGCTAGAGGTAACACCAGATCAACACAGAGGCCTTAAAGCATAAAACAAAACAAGACAACCAAACGAACAAAAAAACCCAAAAAAATAAAACAAAAAACTGAAAAGATAGTGTCCTCCCTCAAACATAATTCAAAATCATGAAACACATGTAAGTAAATCCATCCTAGATCAGATTTTTCGTATGAAACTTTGGTCTACACATCTTCCGATATTTTGTTTGTTCTTATTTCGATGCCCCTGCTTTGCTACAGTCCACATCATGCACCTGTTCTTCTTATTGCATAATACAGTACTGGAAGCGCCTTCAGATTTGTAGTGTGATCTCCCAGTAGAGGGACTGGGGGGAGGGAAGGGGAGAGAAACAGACTTGGTGGAAGCCTCCCAGACTACCATGCAGTCTAAGAAAGGTTCTGCAAGGCCACAGTCAGCTATCAGAGCAATTCCTGTCTCCAGGAATGGGCCTGCCCTAGTATCCTTGCCATACACCATCAGTGACGGAGAGAAACCATGGAAAGCATAACCCAGTGCAAAAGCAGCCAAGGATTTCAAAGTGTGGGAGCAGGGCCCTTGTCAAATACATCCCCTTGCACTGGAGACCTCAGTACCCCCCAGCAAAGCCTTTCCCTAACTAGCATTTTTTAAGTGCTCCATTACTATTAATTTAAGTCCCCACTATTACAGGATTGGGAAAGGAAAAGGGAAAGACATAGAAAGGAAAGGTAAGTGTTATCTGAATATTTAACACAAACCCACAGTCTTCACACTTGTAAACAATGCATCAAATATTTTATTTCTCTCAGTAGTTCATAAGCAAATAATTAACTCTCAAAGCATTTTTAAAAACACAAAAGACATTATACTTTACCAATGAATTATTTCTGTCCCAGGGGATTAAATCAAATTAAAATGTCACAAACATTTGAAAGTTTATTTTTAAGCCAACTGAGATGATGAATTTATATATTTCTATAAAAATTTTTTAGTTCAATGTTTTGTACATGCCATCAGTACAATATGGTTTCTTAAATATTTAGGACATCGTCAATAGCTGTGATTCCTATGAAATATATAATCAGATATCTCAAATTCCTGATTAAGTCAGCTTTAAAGACACAAAAAACTAACACATTTGCTATGAAATTCTGTTTATGATACTCCCTGTAATAAGTTGTGATTAACGAATGATACAGAAATTGTTTAAGGCTAGAAGTTTTATATATGACATGTTCCTTCACAGAAAAATAAATGATGTTGAAAAGGCGAAGCCCACCATAACTGTATCATAGATCAAATATTTAGGGTATCAGTTATTATATCCTCCTTTTGGAGTCTACAGTAATTATTAACTAGGAAAAATTTAGAAAGTTTTAAGGCTGGTCTTAAAAAACATCAATAAAAATAGTAGAAGCCTGACCACCTATCAACAAAAACAGAGCAAACCAGGTATGTCCACATCTTCATTTACATCATTAATTCAGTGATTTGAAATAAATGTCATGTTAAAATCCATGAGTGAATGTAAAGATTCATTCAAGGTATATACTTCTGAGCATTTTAAAAAAAGCTTTTATAGGCAGTATATCTCTGATCAGCATAAGTGAGATGTGGAAAGGACAAAAATAATGCTGTACTGAACGGATTCTCATAAGTTTGCTCCCTCAAAGGACATGCTTACCAGGTATTTTCCACAGTGTTGTTATATATGCTTTATTTTATTTATATATAAAATAACTAGAGATTTTTCATTCTTCCTAATAAGTATTTAAAATACATTTCTAGGTATGCAATAGGATTAAGTATTAGTTTATGATGCGCTTAAAAATCTTTCAACTTATAAAAAAACAATTTCTAGAAATATAAAAATACTGAGCTTTTCATATTTGAGTCTTGAAAAACATAAAGTACAATATTTCCATGTATCAGCAAGTTATAATTGTGCCACTTAAGTTCCTCTCAAAGGAGCATGTAAATAATTTCAAAAGTTTTATGAAGGCTACATTACAGAGCACAGACCACAGATATTTGTAGATTTGATTTTCCATATGTTTTTATATCCTAATGCAAGGAAGAAAAATAAGCAGCAAAGTAAAACATGTTTTTATTAGGAGAAAAATAACGTTTTCATGAAAAGAAAATAGAAAACATGTCATCTCTCCCTTTAGTGGCTTTTCTTCAGTCAGTTATCTGATTTACCAAAAATATGACCTCAGTTATTGAACAAATTACCTTTAAATAAAATATCCAATACCTGTCCAAAGGTTTGTCCAAACCTCCTAAAGAACACTAGTCATTCTAAGCTCTTCTCTTATTCTTCAGCAAAAACTTTAATTAAAAACAGGTCCATTGCCCTTTGCTTCACAACTTTAACATTAATGGAAATTTCACTCTGAGTTTCAAGTGATATTTCTTTGAGGGCCTGACCCATTTAGGTGGCAGTGTAGAAGTGAGTTGCTGACGTACAGATGGTTACAAAATTAGAGTCAAACCTAAAGGGGAAAACATGGAAAATCCAGTACTCACGATCCTAGAAAAAAAATTCTAAAACTAAAGGATTGCTTGAAAAATTCTCTTTAGCAAGATAAAGAAGAGTGATTTATAGACAAGACCGACTGGTTGGTTTTTCTCCCAGTAGCAGCCCCCTGGGATCTGTGATTAAAATGGTATTTGGGGCCTGAGAAGTTTCAGTGATGATTGCTTCATCAATTTTTGCTGGTGTCTCATTGACCGTGCGTCATCAATGGCATTATATACTTTCTGTAAAATAAAATATTTACTATGAATGGTAAAGACAAGTACAGGCTCATGTGGAGGAGAAAGGCATGAAAGTAAGAGCTGAATGAAGCTCTCCACACAGGTCCAACAGTGAAGGACAAGAACACACAGTCTTTACGGGTTGTGCAAAATAAGACCCTTCTGCACGTAAGCCCACAAGTATATTATTTTAAGCTCACCTATCCAACCAGATAAAACCGGAAAATCTTTTAGGAGAAATAATGGGTATTATTATAACAGATTTTTAAAAAAATCTTGCAGCTCAAAAAACTAAAGGGGCATTCTTTAAAGTAAATTGTTTACCTCTGCTGTGGTGGTGTCCTGCAGGTAAATGTTCCGACAGTCATGACTGGCACTGTCTTTTTTGTGGAACAGACCCCGCTCCTGT